GGTGGTATTTAATAATATATGATTGTTTTTTCGTCGAATACTATTTTATTGTATAATTTTCCTGCGTCATATAAAACTTTTATTGAATATTACATCTTATAATACAATATTCCCCAAATAAATATATCTAGTGTCTCGCACAAGTCGCGTACTATATATATCTCATACATTTTTTTATTCATTTATATAATTATAAGAACGGATAAATAACCTTAAAATTGTGCACCCCGTGCATCGCACGAGCTCGTAAGCATCAACTAAAAGGATTTTTTATTAAAGATTTTGAGATTCGATTGGATTCAACTGAGTCAATCGGCCCTTCAAAATCCCACCCCAAAAATCGTACTTGGACCCTCGCCTCGCTTTCGCATCCAACAAATACCCTTCCGATTTAATCAGTTGCCGGATAATTTTCTCAGATCTGAGGTAAAAATGTCGGGGAAAGGGGCCAAGGGTTTGTTGACGGGGAAAAACCTCGCGTCGAAGGACAAGGATAAGGACACCAAGAAGAAACCAACTTCTCGTTCTTCTCGAGCTGGGCTTCAGGTTTTCTCTCCCTCATTTCTCCATCAAATTCTTCTTTTTTAATCATGATTTTCCGCGGCAAATTGCTTGTTTTTCTGTTAATTGAGATTGGAAGTGATGGATTGTGCTCTGCTTCTGCTTCATATGGTAATTCTGGTTCTGTTGATTTCTTCGTTTATGTTTCTTGGCCGTGGGTGAATTTGCAGGGAGATTTTGTGTGTTGATTATATACTGAATCGTACTAGCTATTGTTTTCCTGCTGAATTTCTTCTGGATTGTATTTGCAGTGAAGGCGTGAAGCTTAATGTAGTTGAGTTTCCCTTTTTATCTTTCCCAATTGTTACAAAACTAAGTAGTGTGAATCTTGTGCTGGCTCAGGGGAAATAACTATTTAATGTCTGGAAAAAGATGAACAAGTGGTTATTTAAAATTTATACGACGCAGATGGGATTTGAACGAATTGGGGTTGATCTTTCAGAGCTGAACCCAAATGGATTGTCCGACATAAAACGATTGAGTTAGGCAATAGAATTTTGATTTTGGTTTTGGAATTTAATCAAGTGGCCCATGATAGTGTATAATTTTTTTTTTTTTTTTTTTTTTTT